ACGCATTTTGTATTGCACGTGCCACGAAATCTGCACATGGAGGTTCACAAAGTGCTGCACCTGCCACGACATCTGCACATGGAGGTTCACAAAGTGCTGCACCTGCCACGAAATCTGTACATGGAGGTTCACAAAGTGCTGCACCTGCCACGAAATCTGCACATGGAGGTTCACAAAGTGCTGTGCCTGCCACGAAATCTGCACATGGAGGTTCACAACGCGCTGTGCCTGCCACGAAATCTGCACCTGGAGGTTCACAAAGTGCTGCACCTGCCACGAAATCTGCACATGGAGGTTCACAAAGTGCTGTGCCTGCCACGAAATCTGCACCTCGAAGTTCACAAAGTGCTGCACCTGCCACGAAATCTGCGCATGCAGGTTCACAAAGTGCTGCGCCTGCCACGAAATCTGCACTTCAAGAGACAAGTGAAAACTCTAACCATAATGGAGGGACGATTCGAGCATGATCCGACCATGACCCGAGACCATCTCGCACCCGTCGTTCCGCAGAGCTAGACTTGCCAGGTTCGAAGCCACCGGTTCTATTGAAAAATACAGCGTTTCGCGCGTCCGCTATCTCCGAAATCTGCACATGGAGGTTCACAAAGTGCTGCGCTGCTGCACCTGCCACGAAATCTGCACATCGAGCTTCACAAAGTGTTGTGCCTGCCACGAAATCTGCACATGGAGGTTCACAAAGTGCTGCACCTGCCACGAAATCTGCACATGGAGGTTCACAAAGTGCTGCGCCTGCCACGAAATCTGCACCTCGAAGTTCACAAAGTGCTGCACCTGCCACGAAATCTGCACATGCAGGTTCACAAAGTGCTGCGCCTGCCACGAAACCTGCACTTCCAGAGACAAGTGAAAACTCTAACCGCAATGGAGGGACGATTCGAGCATGATCCGACCATGACCCGAGACCGTCTCGCAACCGTCGTTCCGCAGAGCTAGACTTGCCAGGTTCGAAGTTGAAAAATATAGCATTTCGTGCGTCCGCTATCTCTCGAAAACGCATTTTGTATTGCACCTGCCACGAAATCTGCACATGGAGGTTCACAAAGTGCTGCAC